ATGTTTGTATGTGTGTGTGCGTGCGTGAGTTCGTGCGTAGGTGTGGATGTGTGTGCGGGCGTGCGTGAGTGCGCGCATGCGTGCACGCGCGCCTGCGCACGTGCGTGCGATTGTGTGCGTCGGTCTGCGCGTGTGCATGCGCGTTTTGTGTGTATGCGTGCGTGTATGAGACCCGTCTGTGTGTACGTGCGTGCGAATGTGTGCGTGTGTGTGTGTGTGTGATCGTGCGCGTGCGCGCGTGCTTGCGTGCGTGCGTGTGCGTGCGCGGGCGTGCGTGCGTGCACGTGCGCATGTGTTTTCTACAGTTGAACGCGCGCAGCCAATCTGTGCGCGCGGCAGCCGCCAGAGCCGTCAGGACCGAACCCACGGCCCGATCGAACCGCGCAACACTACGGCATTATCCCACGTCCACGCCGCAGCAGAGGGCACGGCGGGCCCACGCCTCAGGGCGAGCAAGTCACGCGAAGCGCGGGGCCCACGCCACTCGGAGGCCGTCCCACGCGTAGCGCGCGAGAAACTACAGCATGAAGGTCAAGCTCCCCTTGGAGGACCCGTCACGCGAAGTTTGTGCTATACGCATCATCTGCCAACGCACGACGTGAAACGCACAGGCATCACAACGTACGGAGGCGTGGCCACCTTTTTGGTCGCGGCCACCAGCGAGCGCGCAAGCGGCGAGAAAAGTTGTCCGGGCCGGCGGGCAAACCTAATTAGCGACTGAGCGCAGCACGAGCCGGCCGGGCCAGCAGAGGCGTGGCCACGCGCAGCGTCCGATGAATTGAGAGAGTCGCATGGAGCCCACATGGGAAGCGGCCGCTCGCACGTGCACTCATGCAATCCACAAGCAACGTTGGCCACAGAGAGGCACGGTGGGCTTCTGCCAGCGGGCCACTGGGGCGAACCCTCAGGAGTCCACGCGCGCGACCGCAGGAGGCCCGGGGGATTTCCGCCGCGGGCCCACAGGAGCACCGATGGGGGCAACAGGGCACGCTGCACAAGAATTCACCCTCAACCTTGTGTCAGAGGCTTCCGCGCACGTGGGCCCTTGCCCATCATAATCAAATATCTCCTCTGCTGCCGCACTCGCCCTGCTTTGTCGCCTTTGACGGGATGGCCAGCGCAGCCCTTCCCCAGGTCGCGGACGAGGCCCTCGCTCTCTCGGGCGAAGTAGCCGCATTTCACGCGCGCGGCAGCCATGCGCAATGCGGATATCGTGGCCCCGAGCACCTGCAGCGGCATCTGCTGAAGCCCTGGAACCCGCGCAGGCAGAGCTCGCTGAGGCCGAGCCAGGCTGGTGCTGAACGCTCGTGCCTCCGCAATTGCCACTTCTATCATCTCCATCGTCTCCGCCCAAGCTGCAGCGCCGCGACGCCGCCGTCGCCCCCGCGGCCGTGGCCGCCACGAGACCTGCTGCAGCAGCTGGCCGCGTCGCCCCTGAAGGCTCCGAACCTGCGGGGCGCGGCGCGCTGGCCACTGGCCGCGGAGCGCGCGGCCTGCCGAACAGCTTGCGCTTCGAGTTCTCGGTGCTCGCATAGCGCCCGCACATGAAGCAGCGCCAGCAGTCCACCTCCACCACGAAGCAGTGCTCGGTGAGGCTCACGGCGATCTTGGGCGGTTGCTCGACGACCACGTCCGCGGCGACGTCGTCGCGGGCAGCCGACGCAGGGCGCGCTGGCGCAGGAGACCCAGGCCACCGCTCCATCCACCAAGAGGCTCGCGCGCTCGACCTCGGCTCTATCTTCGGCCCCCAAGGCGCATGGGCGAGTGGGCCGTTTATCCCGCTGACTGCATCCGCCAAGCGGTTCGCCCGCTCGACATCGGCTCTATCTTCGGCCCCCAAGGCGCATGGGCGAGTGGGCCGTTTATCCCGCTCGTCAGCCTCAAGATTCTCACGGCGCCACCGTCGTGTTATCCGCCCCGCTTCGACGTCGCTCAGCTTGCCATGTCCTTTCGCTTTGACCACAGTGGGCCCGTCGCCGCCGAGCCCGCCGAAGTCATCGATGGCGCCCCGCGCCAGCCGCCGCCGAAACGCCCGGCTGCGCGAGGCCCCGCGCGCGCCACTGCGCCCTCGATCGAGCGGCCCGTCGACCGCGCAGCAGGCGTCGGTCCGCGCGGCGACGGGCGCCCGGCTGCGTCGCAGAAGAATGAGCACCACAAGCAACTCAGCTCCTTCAGTCGACTGGCGCATGCCCGCCAGCGGCGACACCAGCGCGCGCAAGACACACTTGGAGCCTGGGTCTAGACAGAAGGCCCCCGAAGGGATCTGCACCGCTGCGCAGCCCGCCACCCCGTAGTCGACGTCGAGGTCGAAGGCGCAGCCGTCAGTGAACCGCTCATCGTTGCAGAGAGGCCCCCCCCCCATGTCCAAGCAACCACTGGATCGATGAGAGAAGCTCATCCTGGGGCGCCTGCCAGAGCACCCTCGGCCTGACCATCGGCAGCCTTTCGACCAACGTGACGGAGCAGCTGCAGCCAGTAATGCGAACGACCCATATGTCGATGTCATAAGCGCGCCCACCCTGCCTGGGCACAGCTTGCAATCTTCAGACTGACCATAGCGAAGAATCTTGCGATATCGACGGCAATTCGTCCACTGCCCCCCGACAACGAGGGGCCTCGCGCGCCGCCGTCCTTCCGCGCCAAGCGTGGGTCACTCACGTCCTTCTGGCGCGGTAGGCCTTCCATGATGGATCCACTTCTTCAGCTGCGATGCGTTGAAGAATTGTCCAGATGCGGTAGCTCATAAGCAACCTTCTGAAACTGCTACCACGTAGCAGCTTTCCTCACCAGCTGCTCGGTGCACCACGGCGACCAGTCCAGCGGCTTGTACACGACGCCGTTCGTCGAGTCGACCCACGCGCTGAGACCGGCGGCAACCCGGCCGACCCGAAGCACGGACATGAAGGCCGCGCTGATCGGCCCGCAAACTTGAAACCAGGAGGTAACATTCACATACGTCCAGTCCAGCACTGGTGACAGGGTGGACAGTGGCAGCCACCCTTCCCGCACAGTACGAGAAAGCATGCAGACAGGGTCGACCGTGGCACGGTAGGCGGGGCGGAGCTCGCGCACAGGCGACAACGTGAGCCAAAACGCTCGACTCTTGCCGTCTACTCGGGTCTCCGTGGCTCGGAACGCCATGGAGCGAGCAGCCTGCAGGTCGCCATCACTGAGCCCCGTGCAGTTCACGCTGTGCGCGAAGCCTGTCTCGAGGCTCAGCTTGGCGATGCGTGCCGCACTGGCACGTCGACCTCCCTTGCCCAAGATCCGCCGCACTGTGTGAACTCGCCGTCCAGCAGCTCCGAGTCACGCTCGACGTACTCCACGTCCCAGCACCCTCCCTTGAACAAAGTCCGCGCCAAGGTTCCTGGCGCGCCGCGCAGCCCGGGCCCCCGTGATCCCCGCGAGCTTGGCCCTCAGCGTCTGTGTGAGAGCAGGGGTGGACGCCAGTGCTTGGGATTTCTTGGAGGCAATGCGGATCATGTCTATGGCAAGCCCGTCAACCAAGACCTGCGCAGACTTGACCATGTCGCTGGCAACTCTCTGCTCTCCTCAATGCCGTTGCAGCACCAGGTCGGTGTGTGTGTGTGTGTCTGCGCGTGTGTCCGTGTGTGCGTGCGTGTGTGCGTGCGTGTGCCTGTCTGTGTGCGTGCATGTGTGCCTGTGTGTCTCTGTGTGTGTCTGAATGTCTGAGTCTGTGTCTGTGTGTCTGTATGTGCCTGTGTGTCGGTGTGTGTGTCTGTAATGTTATGTGTGTCGGTGTGTGTGTGTCTGCGTGTCTGTTTGTGCGTGTGTCTGTGTATGTATGTGCGTGGCGGTGTATGTCTGGTCGTGGCTGCGTGTGGCTGTGTGTGGCTGTTGATAGCGGTTTAGTCTATCTCTCTGTCTGCTGTGGGTGTGGAGGGGGAGCAGACGCTGAGTTCGTCCTCCTCCTCTGGCAGTGCTGGAATCCCGACCAGGCGGTATCCCTCCTCAAGGGTGTACCCCAGGCTGAGCCGACGCAGGAAGCGAGTCAGGTGAATCGCCTCCCGAAGAGGGATCGCGAAGGGGACCCTCCGGCGCCGCGGATGCACCAGGCCCGGCCGCGCCGCCACCAGCAAGGCACGCACAGAGGCAAGGAAGCGAGCACGGGCGCGACGCGTTACCGCAGCTGTGCCAATGCTCCTATTGCCCCGGGGCGTACTTTTGTTTTTCTGGCGCGCGCCCATGGTTCTTGAGCCAAACGGGCACGGGCCCTCATCCGGCCCGCGGCTTGCCAGCCGAACGACCAGCAAATGCAGCTCCTAGGCTCAGCTGCATGGCTGCTGGCCCTCCCAGACGCGTTACCGCAGCCGGGGAGGGCCAACTAATGACTATGTTGTCCCGGCCGCGTGGCCGATGGACGTTTGGAGGGCCAGGTTTGGCCCGGGAGTTTCGGCCGCGCTCGCAGGGCACGGTTTGTGCCCGCGGAGACAATAAATCGCACCCAGAGTAAGCTTAACAGACGTGATTCACAGGAGCTAACCTACTCGCGCTTCTACCACAAAGTTAAATCTTACAAATGCAACTCGCGAAGCGAGCCTGAATCTACACTATAAGTTGTGGAGAGCAGAATGACAATTTGCCCCCAGAATGCCCTCGGCAAGTTCGCGCTGAAGTGCGCCGGCGTGCCGGCAACTTGTCGCACCAGCCTTTGCACTGCTCGCGCCGGCAACTTCTCTTCTCGCACGGGCATCACTTCTTCTCGCACGGGCATCTCTGTGGCACCCGCGGAAGCGCTCGCAGATAGCCACAGGCATGGCGTCTGAGGAAAATTAGAAGTATACCCCTGAAGTGGCGACGCGCCAGCGTCCACCCGGCTAACGTGGACATTAGAAGTATACAAATAATCATTAGTTACATGTTACATACGTGGCGAAGGCGGATGCTCGGGAAAAAATATAAGGACGCGTGGCAATGTTTTCCACACCCCCCTCGCCGAGCAGCGCGTGAGAACATTCAAAATGTCTGGCGACAAGGCCTCAGGGACTGGTGCGGATCATGCCCATGAGGTCGCGGGCCCGCATGAACCTTGCCGGGGACATGGCCTTCGTGAAGCCGTCGCCCCGGTGCGTCGCGGTGGGCGCGTGCTTGAGGATCATCGCGCCGCGCTCCACCACAAGCTCGTGCAAGAGCCCGATGGACACCTTGTGGGGCTCTCTAAGAACTTCAGATTCTTGCTGTGGCCCTTAGTGACCGCGGAGATGGCCTGCGCGTTGTCCACGAGCGCCACCAGCGGGATGTCGATGCCAAGCATCCGCTCGAGGAGCATCTGCGTGGGAATGCCCTCGTGCTTGGTGTTGTGGCTGAGAGCCACCGTCTCGGCTTCGGCTGTCGAGCCGGCCGTGGGCGTCTGCTTGCGAACAGCCAACGAAAGCGGCCAGCGTCGACCTGAAGTCGGGCTGTGAAGTTCCACCAGAACGCCGCCTGTAGACTTCGCGTGCTCTGAGTCGCCAGCCCAGTCAGCATCCGACCACATCAGGAGCTCCAGGTCGAAGATGTCCTCGGGGGCCAACTCGGCGGCGAGGGCCATGGGGCCAGCGGCCTTCAAGTAGGCGTACAAGCGAGCCAGTGCTGCGTCGTGGGTTGTGCTCCACTTTGACACCACCGAGCAGAGGCGCTGCACGGCAACGGCGATGTCTGGCCGTGCGACCCGGGACAAAATCAGCAGCGTCGCAACGTGCGAGGCGCAGCTGCCGGCGAAAACGCCGGGGCACACGCCATCTTCAGCCCACTGCTCCGGCGAGAGAAACGGCGACGTCACCTTGCGGAGCTCGCCCCCGTACTCGCTAGCGAACCTGGCGACGGCGTTGGCCACGTAGTCGTCCATGTCCGTGTGGAGCCGGCGAGCGGCCGACGGGCAGGTAGGGTTGGCCGGGTCCATGGTGTAGCGGGCCCAAGTACCTCTGGATATCCTGCTCCCGCTCCTTGAACACGATCGCCGCGTCGAGCGCCCTCCAAAATGGCCCGGCGATGCTCGGCGGAGCGATCATGAGCACGTCGTCTACGTGCACGACGAAAACGCTTCCATCAGGGCGCACATGAACTCCAGGATGGTCGAGGCCAGCGGGCTCCCAGCCATGCTGCTTGAGAATGCTGTTCAACTTGGCTTCCCACAGCGCCCCGGCCTCGGGGTGGCCACGCAGAGCCTTCTTGAGCCGGCAATGAGGCCGGACATACTTAGGTCTCTGGCGTGCTGCGCCGTCCAAGAACCAACTGTCTGGCCACCACTCCCGTGGGAGCTCGACGTGAGTGGGGATCCGGAACAGAGTGTCGATCAGGCTGACCCCCTGGCCGGCGAGGGCCGCGGCCGCCAGGGCAGCGCGCGCCGCGGCGAAGGGCGCCGGAGCATTGGCAACTTCTTCGAACAGGTCTGCAGCCGACACGCCCGACTTAGTTCGGATGTTGGATCCTTGAAATACCACTCTAGCCTTCCATTGCTGGGCATATTTTCCAAGCGCTTCTCCTTTTATCCCCAGAATTGCAAACGCCCGGGCCAGCATGGCGTCGCTGGTGCCCCAGACCTGCTTGGAGCGCATCCCGTGCAGCTCCTTCTCCAACGCCTTGCGGGCGCCGTCGCAATCTGCCTCGGACGATTTGGGCTTGACCACCCGTGCCACGAGGGCGCACCACAGAGGGTGGCGCGGCGGGCCAGCATCATGCTCATGATGCTCGTGGCGCGGGTCGTCGTCACTCTCGTCGCGCCAGGGGCAGCAGGTAAGATGCCTGCGCGGCGAGCGCTCCAGAAGAGACGTGCGAACTGCTCCGTGTACTGGGCGGTCTGCTTCGCAATCTTCCCGCGGCAGCGGACGAACTCCTTGCTGTCGGCAGCCTCGTCGACGGAATAATTCTCGAAAATCATCGTAACGGGGTCGTCCGTGGAGCACAGCGTCCACTCCTTCTGGGTGTACACCACGCGGCCTGCATGCTGATGCTGCTGGCCGACGGCGGAGGCCGATACCTTCACGAACTTGCCGCCGACGGTGTTGATCAGCTGGTGCACGCGGTCGTTCGACCACAGGTCGGAGTTTGTAGGCCACTCCCAGGTGACGTCCTGGCCCTTGTCACGAGCGTAGGTGCACACCTTCGCGACATTGGTGATCAAGGCCCGCGTCGCCGCCATGGGGGCGGCTGTCCAGATCATGGTCCTCAGCTTCTTACGGGCCGCCCTCTTCAAGATGTCTTGAACAGCTCGGAGGGTCTTCTCGGCGGCAAGGTCAAGCTGCTCGGTCACGCGGATGGCGATGCACCTGGCCGGGGCGAAGGCGGACAGGCAAGACTCCGGAGAGCAACACAACTCGACGAGCATCTGGTTGTACCTGCCGCCCATGATGGCTGGCATCGCTGCGGCGACGATCTCAGGCACCGTGGGCGCCTGTATGACGAGGCCGGCCGGCGCTGCCGGAGCTGCAGGTCCTGCGGCGCGGCCGGAAGCCACGCGGGCATCGCTGGAAGAAGCACGGGCGTGCTGCCCGCCAGCTGCGGCCGAGCCTCGGTGCCAAGGATGCCGAGGCGGCTCGTGGCACACCTCGTGCGGGGTGCCCGCGAAGGCAGAGCACGCGAGGCGAGGCATCGATGGGGCGGCCGCCACGACCTTGCCCTTCGCCTTCAGGTTCTGGTAGTCCTCACGCCTCTTCTCCTGAGCTGCGAACCCTGCGGGGTCAGCAGCCTTCCACTAGTCACGCTCCGCCTGCCTGTGCTTCGTGGTCAGGGAGAGCCGCGCCTCTGGCTCGAGCGTAGGCGGACGAGTGGGCCACGGTGGCGCCCACGCCGAACGCCGGATCTGGCCGTCGGCGCCAAAGCCGCCTCGCCTCCAGCCGCTCGGCGGCGAGCGCCCTGGTCCAGGCTTGATCTCCCGCTGCACGACGGGGTCGGCGTTGACGCCGAGCCGCGCAGCTTCGGCAACGTCGGGCTCGACCGCAGCATGGCCAGAATGAGGATCGTCGGCGCCTGCGTCTCCATCGCCGGCTTGGCCCACGACGTCCAAGCCCTCCTGGGAGTCAGGATCGATGGCCAAGGCGACGTCGAGCATCGAAGCCCTCGTCGAAGAGAACTAGGGGCTGTTATCCTTCAGCATCCCGTCGTACGCAAGCACGTCCTCCTCGCAAGGCTCGTCGGCGATGAACTCATAGCCCCCCTCGGCGTCGTCGTTGGCGCGCGGCGCCGGCAGGCTGAGGTCGCGGAGCGCGCCGTTGAACGCCAGGCGCTGCGCTAGAGGGAACGTCACCTTCGACGGGGAGACGACGTCGGCGACGGTGCGGACGTTGACTCTAGAGGCCCGGCCGTCGGCCAGGATGGCCGCGAGCGGGGCGATCAAGTAACTCTTGGCCCGCTGCTCGGCTGGGCCGGCCGCTACGCCGACCAGAAGTGCAGGCATTAGTCGGTTCTTCCATTTGCTGGAGCTGCAGGGGTCGCCCTCCAGCCTCGGGAGCTTGGAGCCGGCTGGCGGCCGGAAGAGGACGAGGGCGCCGAACGGGTAGATGACGAAGGGGGCTGGCTCCTCAAAGCGGCGTTGCCACCGAGTGAGGCCGGCCTCGTTCTTGACGCTGCCGCTGTAGTTCGCCGCCCAGTGCCGCTCGGCGAGAGGCCACCAGCGCTCGCTGAGGCCGGACTGGTGGAGGGAACATCGCGCGCCCTCAATCGCCACCCGATTCATGCGCTCGATCTTGCCGTTGGCTTCAGCCCGGCGCGGTGTCGTTTGATAATGCGCGAGTGGACGCTTGCTGCGCACCACCCGCGCTGCTGCCCTGAACTCGGGCGCTGAGTCGGCCCGCCACCTCCGAATCTTCGGCGGGGCGGAGTCGAAGGAGCCCACGCTGTTGAGCACTGTGTCGGTGCCCCGGCGGCGCGCTGGGCACGGCGAGAAGAACTCCGTGGACTCGTCCAGGATGCGCAGGCTGTAGGGCGATGCCTTCCTCGCCTCAGAGCTGCGCTCCACTTCGACGTGGTCCATGTGCACAAGGGCCCCGGAGGACTCGACGGTGGCGTCCGGCGCATGAAGCTCCGCAGCTGGAGCGGGGCGGCGCGAGCTGCGGCTCTTCGCCGTCTTCCCGAAGTCGCACCCCGCGCAGACGCCGGGCGGGCATTTCGGCAGGTGCGTGGCCAGGTGGAGGATGGACTGCGGGTCGCTATGGATCGAAGCGTCGATCACCGCGTCGTCCTCGCAGACACCGCACTTCAGCGGGACCCCCCCCGGTCAATCTCCGCGTCGCGCGCGCGCGCGTTCGAAGTCTTGCGGCGCCTTGTCTGGGCCACCAGCGCTGGCAGCAGGCGCAATTGTCGAGGGCGGCGCTGGCGGCGCCCCCCCAGGATCGGCAGCGGCACCCAAGGCAACAACATTGGCTGAGGCCTGCTGGTCGGAGTGCGCACTATGAGGGGCCCCCCTGCGGGAGGGGCCACGCGGTCGGCCGCAGCGGCGGCCTGGGCTGCGGCGCGGGCTGCCCCATTCGCCGCTCCAGCGACCTCCGCTGCGGCGGGGGCTGCGTGGTCAGCCTCTGCGGAGGCCATGGCAGGCATGCATCGCACCTGTCGGCGAGCGCTGGCCGGCTGGCTGGGGCGGCCGCCCGCCACCATCGGGGCGAAGTTCTCCACGCGGACGTCGACCTGCGAGCCCTCGTGCGCGTAGAACTCGGGCTTGTCAGCGAACGGCCCCCACGCGAAGCGGTAGCCATGCTGGGCGCAGCGGCGCCCGAGCGAGAGCGCCGGAATGGTATCTGGCAGCTCGATGGCCTCGCATCCTCGTTCAGCGCCTCCAGGCCCACGGACACGGTGGTCTCGGGCGCGATCACGCCGTTCGCCGTGCTCAGGAAGCAAAGGTCGTCGCGCTGGCGGCGGACGCCTTGGGCCCCTACGGGGGCCAGGTCATTGCCAGCGCCGGAGTCCAAAGCGAACTCATCAAGGTCGTCGCTGGGGCCACCAGTGGCCGGGGCGGCGCGGCAGACGGCGCCCGGCACTTTGGCCTTGCCAGGGCCAACGTGCTTGAACGCGCGGCTCTCGCCGTTGGTGCGCTCGCCCCTGGGCCAGAAGCGGCGCGCTGGCTGGTCATCTGGCTGGGCCGCGGCAGCGGCGGGGGAGGTGGCGGCGGCCGCCGCTTTCGCCTTCGCCTGCGCCTTGGCCTTAGCCTTAGCTTTGGCTGCGGCCCCAGCTTTGGCCTTGGCCCTGGCTTTCGCCGCGGCGGCATCTGGCGCAGAGGCGGCCCCGACGTGCTCGAGCATGCAATTCGCACCGAAGCGGCGCGAACCATCCCGAGCAAACATCTGGCAGATCTCACCGGAGCGGACCTGCGGCGTCGCCTGCGCCTTGGCCTTCGCAGCGGCGGCAGCTGCGGCTGCGGCTGCGGCGGTCTTGGCGGGGGCGGCCTTCTGAGGCAGCTTCATCAAGTCGCCCCACGCTTGTCCGCGCCGTCGCCGCACGATCTCCCGCCGCGCGGCCTTGTAGGGGAAGGCGGAGGCGCGGGTCGCGGCGCCCTCCTCGGCGGCATCATAGGTCACGAAAGCGGGCTCCAACCCCATGCACTTCCGGAGCTGCCACTCGAGGAGCGAGCACAGCATGTCTTCGTCCGGCACCTTGGCCAAGGCCATCAAGGCGTAGTCCCAGGCATTCAAGAAGCCCTCGAGGTCCCCCCCGAACCCGAGGCCCACCAAGGTGGTGAGGTCGACGCTCATCGCCTGGCCGCGCTCGATTGTGCACCTGTAATACACCATGTACAGCGCGCAGCGGCCGGAGTGCGGCAAGCCCATCCTCGACCGCTCCTCGCGGTAGATCAGGAGCTCACGCTTCAAGTTGCTGTTGGCGATGGCCAAGACGGCCTCGGCGAGCGCGGAGTCAGGATCGCCCCACCTTTTCTCCTTCTCTGCCAACGCCTCGAGCTCCGAGATGTCGTTGACGGTCTCGATGCGCTGCATCCACCGCATTGTGCGGCGCTTGCTGCGCTTGCTCGCTGCGTTCACCTTCGCGTAGGCGTCCTGCACCCGCTCCCGAAAGCCCACGGCAGAGGGCAGCGGGCCCAATGTCAAGGACTTCGCCGCGCCTTTCCGCCGGCGGATGTCGTCCTCAGTCGAACTCGACGAGCTCGAGGGTGACCTCTTACTCTTTTTGCTTTTCCGGCTGCGGCGCGCGCCGGAGGCCCCCGGCGTGCTAGGCGGCGAGTCGTCGCCGCCAGCGCCGTCGTCGCCGCCGGGGCGGCGAGGGCCCTGAAGCCCAGGAGGGAGGTCAGGCTGAGCTGCGGGAGCCTGCGCTGCGGACGGGCGCTGCTGCAACTGGGTCGGGAGCCGCTGGACCGGCTCGCACCGCGCGCTGCCACCGGCGCCAGGGCGGTCTGGCGGGCCGCCTCCGCCGGGAGCGCCAGCGGCCGCGATGTGAGTCCTCATGGTGACCCCGGCCCCATGGCCAGGGAGCACGCCGCGATTCGGGCCAGGGCGCGGCTGCGCGCGCGGCGCTGGCGCCGGCTCGGACGCGGCCGCCGCGCCCGGCTGTGGCGCGGCCAACGGCCGCGAGGGCGCGGCCATGTGGAAGTGCTGCGGCTGCGTGAGGACGCCGCCCGCAGAGACGAAACGCACCGTCAGGCGGCCAGGCTGCGGTTGCAGCGGCGGCGGAGGAGGCTGGGAGAGCACTGGATCGTGCTGCGGCGGCTGCACCCGCCGCTCCTCAGCCACCGATGCGATGCGTTTCTAATTATCAACCTCCTGCTCGAGGATGTCAAGACGCTGCTGCAGCGCGGTCTGCACCTCGAGCTGCTCGCCGCGCTGCGCCTCAGCCGTGGCTGCGAGGTCATTGGCCCATTGCTGGGCTCGGTCTCTCAGTGCATGCACGCGCTGCTCGGACTCGGTGAGCCGAGAACGGAGCACCGTGACCTGCGCCTCCAGCCCTGCCGCGCGGTCGGCCCGGAGTTTCGTCTGCTCCTGCTGGGCATCCAGATTGGCAATCTGGGCTTCGTATTGGCGAAGCTGCAGCCTTGTGCGGCCCTCGAAGCCGACGAACGCCTGCTGCGTGGAGGACTCGAGCTGCGCCGCTGCGGCGGCGCGCTGCTGAGCCTCAGCGGCCTGCGCCTGCGACTGCTGATCTGCCCTGGAAGCCGTGGCCTCCAGTTCGCCCGCAGGCGCGAGGAAACCGTGGAGACCACTGCGCTGAGCTCCACGCGCTGCGCCTCGAGGTTCCGGAACGCCTGAGCATGGATCGCATCGCACTCCTCGCGGCGCCTCTGGTCAGCAGCGGCGTATGCAGCAGACTCTGCGGCCAGGATGCCGGCAAGCTGCTGGCGGTCCGTCGCCGCCATCTGCTGCTCTGCCGCACGGAGCTCGCGCGAGCTCACCGCAACTCTCTCGTGGCACTCGTGTTGGGCCGCGGCTGTCGCCTCGTCATCCGGCGCTGCATGAGCCCGCGCTCGGACCGGAGGTCTGCGTGTGCCTGGGCGCTGACAGCCTCCATGCGTTCCAGAAGAGCCACCTCCAGACGCTCAATCAACGCTGTTTCTTTCGCCTGGAACTCAGACTCGAGGATCGCCGTCTGGGTCTCGAGCGCCGCATGCTGGTCAATGATGCGGCTCAGCTCTCCGGCGAGGTCGAGCCCTACAGCGCTGGGCTCCTCATCGTCCGCGCCAGCGTGCAGCAGCGTGCGGCTGCGGTCCGCCCGCGACGCATCAGCGACGGGCGCAGCGGCCGAAGGCGTAGGCGCGGCCTGCGACGAGGCACCGCGACCGGATCTGCCTTCCACGCCGCGGCCGCGGAAGGGCAAAACGGGCCGATGCGCCGGCCGCGGGCGAGGCGGCGGCATGCCGGCCGCAGCCTCCGCGAAAACCGCGGGGAGCACCCGGCCGAGGTCCTCGTCCGCAGCATCGGCGAGCGGGATCATCTCGCCAAGGTTGTTGGGATTTCCAGTCGCCATGGTCTCAAAGAGCCTTCGGCTGATAACCTGCTGATAGCGGTTTAGTATATCTCTCTGTCTGCTGTGGGTGTGGAGGGGGAGCAGACGCAGAAATCGTCCTCCTCCTCCTCTGGCAGTGCTGGAATCCCGGCCAGGCGGTATCCCTCCTCAAGGGAATACCCCAGGCTGAGTCGACGCAGGAAGCGAGTCAGGTGAATCGCCTCCCGAACAGGGATCGTGAGGGGGGCCCTCCGGCGCCACGGATGCACCAGGCCCGGCCGCGCCGCCACCAGCAAGGCACGCACAGAGGCAAGGAAACGAGCACGGGCACGACGCGTTGCCGCAGCTGTGCCAATGCTCCTATTGCCCCGGGGCGTACTTTTGTTTTTCTGGCGCGCGCCCATGGTTCTTGAGCCAAACGGGTACGGACCCTCATCCGTCCCGCGGCTTGCCAGCCGAACGACCGGCAAATGCAGCTCCTAGGCTCAGCTGCATGGCTGCTGGCCCTCCCAAACGCGTTACCGCAGCCGGGGAGGGCCAACTAATGACTATGTTGTCCCGGCCGCGTTGCCGATGGACGTTTGGAGGGCCAGGTTTGGCCCAGGAGTTTCGGCCACGCTCGCAGGACACGGTTTATGCCCGCGGAGGCAATAAATCGCACCCAGAGTAAGCTTAACAGACGTGATTCACAGGAGCTAACCTACTCGTGCTTCTACCACAAAGTTAAATCTTACAAATGCAACTCGCGAAGCGAGCCTGAATGTATACTATAAGTTGTGGAGAGCAGAATGACAATTTGCCCCCAGAATGCTCTCGGCAAGTTCGCGCTGCAGTGCGCCGGCGCTGCAGTGCGCCGGCGTGCCGGCAACTTGTCGCACCAGCCTTTACACTGCTCGCACCGGCAACTTCTCTTCTCGCACGGGCATCACTTCTTCTCGCACGGGCATCTCTGTGGCACCCACGGAAGCGCTCACAGATAGCCACAGGTATGGCGTCTGAGAAAAATTAGAAGTATACCCCCGAAGTGGCAACACGCCGGCGTCCAGCCGGCTAGCGTGGACATTAGAAGTATACAAATAATCATTAATTACATGTTACATACGTGGCGAAGGCGGATACTCGGGAAAAAATATAAGGACGTGTGGCATTTTTTTCCACATGTGGCTGTGTGTGTGCGTCTGTGTGTAACTGTGTGTCTGCGTGCGTGTGTTTGTGTGTGTGTGTCTGTATGCGTGCGTCAATGTGTGTCTGTATGTGAGCGAGTGTGTGTGTGCGTGTGTGCGTGACTGCGTGTATGCGTGTGTGCGTGTGAGCGTGTGTGCGTGTGTGCATGTGTGCGTGTGTGCGTGTGTGCGTGTGTGCGTGTGTGCGTGCGTGCGTGCGTGCGTGCGTGCACTATGTATCGAGTTTCTTCCTGCTCGAACCCTGGCGCATGAAAGCACAGACTTCGCCTCCCAGACTTGGCAAAACAACTATCAGCGCGAGCCCGCCTCTAAAACGGGGTAAGGCCGAGGAGAGGACCTCCACACAACTGCGCCCCCCCCCCGGAAGCGCCTTCTCTGAGGTCAGGTTCGCCTTGTGCGCCAGCGCGGAAGTCGCCGCGTGGC